AACTCCCCATGTTAAAATGCCTAAGTTTACAGCTGAAAAAAACATGTTTACAGCCTGGTTCAAAAAATGATTTTGGTCTATATAGCTAATTTTGCCCTTCATGACAACTGTGAGGGAGGTGAATTTTTTTATAACTCATCCGTTTAAATTATATTAAGCCTTAAAGTTCTGCATAATTAAGGGCGTGGCCACTTGAGTGACAGGTGGATTGCCGCTGCTGTCACCACCGTAGAGCTAGGTGGGCGTGGTTTCAGCAGCCAGCTCCCGCCTCTTTGCCCATTTTCGATTATCCGGGCGTGACGCGCTGCCAAGATGGCGACGGCTGGCTCCGCCTACTTTAGGCTTCAAAACGCTCGTCGAAAGTCTATGGGTTACGTAACGGACACTACGTCCATGTTTTTATACAGTCTATGGTCAGCATGCACGGTGAAAATATACATGACAAATAAAAAAGGTCGCTTTTACTTATTTTAAAAAATATATATTTTTGTTAATTGACTTATTAAATAATATAGCCTGTATAAATAACTATAGCCTAATTATTGTAAATATAACAATCGTGCATAAAATTGTAAATAATATTATTTATTATGTTGACAGGTACGGTATATGAGGCTGCTACTACTTGAAATGTTCTACCTAATTAAAAAGCAACCTACCAGTGTCCATATGCAAAATTATAAATAAATACATGCTTGCAAACCAGGAGACTCCTGTCACCATTTTTATTCAATCTCGAGCACGGAGTTCTTCAGCTTTTTTCAGGACAAAGGCATGTATTTCACTTTGTTATAATTCTACAACTGCAAGAGCATTTAAGTAATTATTATTGAATAATTAATTACTATGTCATATAGGCCTACTTCTATATTTTACAAATGTTTTTTTTTATTTTTTATTTTTATTAGACATTAAAGACATAACATGTAACATTTACAACTTTAACAAGACATCCAAAAAGATAACACAATTAAAGGAATGGGTTTACATTACATAGAAAAAATAAATAAATCAATAATAATACTTAAAGAAAAAAAAAGACAGCATATACCCGTTCAATTTTCAAGTAACTTCAACTCTTTAGTATTTTACAAATGGTTCAAATGTTCAAGAAAATTAGTTTGGCGTCACACAATATTTAGCAAAACCCCTGCAGTACCGCTGTGGATCCCTAGGTGTCACCAAATCCCTTCGGAACACTTCTGGACATTTAGTGGTGTTCCAATTCATTATTTCACATTGCTAGCTTAAAGCACTTTCTTAAAATAATTTCTACATGTTTTGGATGTTTATAATGTTATGCATGAATGAAAACAACAATCCCACTAAAGACAGAATCTCACCAAAGACTGTTCAGTCAACAATAATCTGTCTCAAAAATAATAATTTGCCATTTTAATCGTCAGTTTAGCATTAAAAACATATCTGGTGACACAAATGATACCAAAAAGGGAAACAATGTGGTTTTTACTCGATAATATAAAAGAATAATCTCCTTTTACTTTGCATTGCATAACACTTGTTTTCAACATTATCGAAAGAATGGCTTCAGAATACAGAATATTTGTTAACATAATTAATATAAGGACAATGAATGTAATCAAACATAAAGGACTGTTAAAATGTATGCTTTTATCTGTTTTTTAAGTGTGTAAAATTAAATTATAAACTTTTTTTGTGTAAGACACAGCTTTGTGTTTATGATCATAACTAAACAAATGTCATCAGTGTTCCTACTTAGAAAGAAAGAAAGAAAGGGTGCCTGTGGATTAAGACTGATGTTTTTAAACGTGTTCTCATCTGAGCAGATATTACTGCAAGTCAAACAAAAATATGACCTGGCAAAATAAATAAAATGTTACAGTTTCTGTTTTTTTTTTTTTTTAAGCTTAGTAAAGTACAAAAAAATAAAAATAAAAATAAAATAAATCGATGAAAGTTCTCTTAGACTCTTGTGGTGTTGTGAAATAAAATATATATATATATTTTTTTTTTTTCAGATGTTAACAGATAACAAATAATTTCCCTCGAATAGCTGTACTGGCAGATATACGAGATCCAAAACAGTTGAGAAATAAAACACCTTCCAATTTCCTTCTAAAAATTATTAACTTTTTTTTCTATACGACAAAACTTTCTAAATAAAATGCCCTTAATTTGTCTTTTTTTTCCCTCTAATTTATTTTCTTAAGGCAAAATATTGAGACACAAACCAACACTAAAGTGGCTATCAAAATATATTAAAGCTGAACATATTCACTACAGAGATTTCTATGTCATTTCAAAATTGTATTAATTTCTACTACTGGGTATGGAAATCACGTTTTTAATATTCCCTAATAAAAGGTTTGCTTGAATGTATATTTTCTAACCAGTCTTAAGTCGCTGGGGTATATTTGTAGCAATAGCCAACAATACATTGTATGGGTCAAAATGATCGATTTTTCTTTTATGACAAAAATAATTATCAATGGAAAGCTTATTTATTCTGCTTTCAGATGATGTATACATCTCAATTTCAAAAAATTGACCCTTATGGTCCAGGGTCACATATAAAGAAATCGTCAAAATACACATATTTCTGTAGTTGCCTTTTAATAGAAGAGTATAAAACAACATCCAAAAAAATATACTTTGCTTCAACATATATACATTTTACACATTTTATGATGAAAGATAGTCCATGTTGTTATGCTTGCATAGCTTACAGTGAATCAGGATAATAGTAGGAGGCCATGGAGAATAGAGCCCCAAACATGACATTTGCAAGGGGCTAAAGAATAGATACTTTAGTCATGATTTAGAAATCTGTTCTCACAACTTATTTTGTTGCCATGTTTTGTTAATTCGTTACCTCGTGTCAATTAAACCGTGGCCATAATTGAACTAAAACGAGGGAATATATTACTATAACATGCCAACACTTTAACTATATTTTCCCTCCGCAAATTAGTAATGTTGTGGAAGTGAATTCTTCATTTTCCCCTCTCTTATGTTATGTGCAGGGCTCTATACACTCTTAAAAATAAAGGTGCTTCATGATGCCTTTTATCTAAATGGTTCCATAAAGAACCTTTAACATCTGAAGAACCTTTCTGTTTCACAAATGTTTCTTTTTGGTGAAAGAAGGTTCTTCAGATTATAAAAAGGTAAGAAAGAGATGGTTCTTTAAAGAACCTATGGCTGAATGGTTCTATTTGTCGCCAACCAAAAATGGTTCTTCTGTGGCATCGCTGTGAAGAACCTTTTAAGCACCTTTATTTTAAAGAGTGTACTTCAAGACAAAGTTCATGTAAACTATTTCAAAGCTCCACAAAAGCTTTTGATCTGAGGTGGGCTGGCTATCTTCGCAACATCTATTAATTCCTATACGGAATCAACTTTTCCCAGACACCTGTTGGCTGGCACTGACTCAGAGCTGTGCTGAATAAAGACACTTCCACGCATCTCACAGTAAAGACGAGACTGTGCCTGTGAGAAAGAGCCACATGCTATCACTTGTATGCACTGCTGCTGCAAACAGGGTTATTTTCCCATAGTATTGATGTCAAAATTTGGTCAAAGAGCTCCATTCTGAACGTCTCACAGGGTTGATGTTAGTCAGCACTGCGTCTGAGAGCAGGAGGAGTACAGACAGAGCAGGATGAAGCTGTCTATGAGGAGGACGCAGTAAAGACAACGCTGCGTATGCAAACTCTGCGCCCTCTGGAAGCGCGTCATCAGCACCGCCAGCAGGACGAAGAAAGTGGCTATATTTAAAATCAGGAAAAGGCGAATGTACGAGGTGGCGTTGAACATATTGTCGCTCTCTGCCGTAGCCCCCACACGTACTTCTTTGAATTTCCGCCCCTTGACAAATCCCACTTTCCTGCCCTTTCGTAAATCACTGTAATCGATGAATGCCCTCGAGTCGCCGCCGGTCTCCTCCGGAGCCTCCTCATAGACGCGCTTCATCGTCCTCTGCCTCTCCTTCTTCTCCCTCGCCTCGATCTGAGCAAAGATGTCTGGGAGGCTGTCGGAAAAGCTCGCCTTCTTGCCTCCCTTCCCCTTCCCTTGCTTCTTAGAAAGGGAAAACATCTTCTCCACAGTCCCTGGAGTCTTCCTCTTGTCCGAGGACTTTAGGAGGCGCTCTGCAGTTTTGTGGAAACTGTCCGTGTTGAGAACCCGTGAAAGGATGTGCCTCTCCAGCTGCTGGAAGACTGGTTTGACATGCTGCAGATTGTCCTCCACAACATTAATGTATTCCTCTACCTCCTCCAAGGGCTGCTCATTTGTCCCTGCTGTCCTTTCAAACACTACTTTCTTTTGGTCCATCAACACCATGGCCATAGGCTTGGTGGGAACCACATCTGTGTACAGATAGATGGTGTAGGTGTGATCTCCGGTGGCCAGATAGATGTCCAGTGTTTTTGAGTCGCCACGCACACTGAAACTCTGAACATCCACTCCGGATCCGAAGAAGATGTAGGCCACTCTGCTGGTAGGGTGCCTCAGTGGCATAGTCACATTTACATAATTCGAACCATTATAGGGGTATCCACGGGGGTAACTCCTATATCCCACTGTTGCCTTTTCACTGCTGCCCGTATCGTCCAACCAGAACATCCTGGACGTTTCGTTTCCGTGTCTGATCAGAGCACCGTGAACTCCGTCGACTTGGGTTTCCTGAAAGGGCATGTCTGTGTTGTGGAAGAAGGCACTCATGCTGCATGTCACGCTGCCTAAATGCAGCTGAATGTGGTCGACCATCAGCAGCAGCTGAGGATGAAGCAGCAGTAAGTTCCTTTGAAAACTCTTGATCTTCAGCTCAGGGTTGTAAGCGCCGTGACCCTCCCCGCGAATAAACACCATTCCCTGCCGCTCCAAAGCCGCCTCCACCTGCCCCTGGCAGTCTGCCGCTTGACCGTGCTTGTACTTAAGCCATTTAGAGTTACAAGCCTCTGTAACTTGGCCTTCCCATGGTGCAAAGCAGCTCTCCGACACGGCAGGCCCGAACATGACGGCATTGTTGAGAGAGGTGTATTTGGGACCGTACAATGCCTCTGTGATAAACGGGACTCCATTCGGAGCAAAGGTAAAGGAGTTCTGGTCCGGATGCTCGTGGCCCGCGTTAAAGTTCCGCCACCCTTTGATCCAGTCTTTGTATTTGTTTTGGTGAACCATGTCGAAAATAGCACGTCCCCCGAGCTTGCCCGACTTAAAGGACAGAAATGTGTGGTTTCTCCTAGCAGGCAGGGCACCTCCGTAGGTCACCACTCCCCAGTCTTCGAAATAATGGAGGTGCGATGCACCATAATCAGGAGGTGGGGTGGGCTGCAGACTGGCATCATACCTATACAGTGGGAGAAGCACATAGAAAAGTTAGATAAGCCACAATACAAAAAAAAATTCTTGTTCTTGGATAATCAGAAAACTGTTTGGTAAGTTTGCTTGCAGGATAAACTGAAAACTGTTTGCTTGCAGGATAAAAAGGTCTATTTCATTCCCTATTGTGGATAGTGCAGCAATTATGAAGCACAGCTCACATAGGAGTCACTCTTAAATCACAATATAAGACTACATCACAATATATGTAGTCATATATTGTGACTACAATATATATGTAACTAAAATTATAGTGACTAGCAATGCTTCTAAAGAAAGTCAAATTGCCTGAAAACGTAAGTACAACAAAGGTGAAATTTTGCAACATTGACATTTACCCTGAAACAAAATATACTGAAGCACCATGATGACCAGGGACTAACAGCTTCTTACAAACATGTTTAAGGGGGGAAAATAACAACAATCTGTATCTAAAAATGTTAAAACTCAATCTACCAAAATCAAAGCCTACATCTTTGAGGGTTAAATACACAGTATTCAAAACTAAAATTTAATACAGAATTTTTTTTTAACTTTTTTAAAAGTTAGAAGTTCCATGCTCAGGAACCCAACAAATCTCACCAGAGGAACTCGGTGTGCAGCGTGCACCAGCGCTGACCCCTGCCTGCCTGTCCTGGGCCCTCCAGAACTCGATTCTGTCTGATTACCTCAGCCAGCCAGTTCCCGCTGCCATTTCGCATGACATACCGATCCAAAAACACCAACTGACTCTCTGGCCCATAGAACCAGTTATAGTTGGAATCTGCGATTGCAACCGTTCTCTGAAAACCTGCAGGAGCAAAAAATACATTGAAACATTCAAAACCTAATACGAGTGTGAAAGATTAGGTCAACAGGAATCTGTTCTTTTTGTTTCCTACAAACTGCACAATAAGTGTTGATTTTCAGTCAGTGAGCAGAAGCTTGTTTGACTGCTGTAAACACTTTTTAATTATCGAGGTTGGGCGAAGATTAAAGGAAGAGTAGCAGTTTACTGTGAAAAGGGATATTAAACCTAGCAACCACTAGAAAATATTTAGCCAGAATGAATCACTTTTGTGTAAAAGAACGGCAGCAGTAAGCACAGTCTTTAGAGGGGAGCATTTAACTAATGAGAGTTTGATGTTAGTATTTTCACCAGTTTGTTTTAGTTTCCACAGAGAGCCAAAACACTTGCTAGCTACACTGATATAGAAATACAAAAACGGCTAAGAAGAGGCCATATAGTCCTAACAGTACTGCATCTGTGTGCATTCCCAGAGGGGATAGACTGAGAGATAGACTGAGTGTATTGTGACTGCTAACCCTCTCCGTCTCCTGATTTGTTGCTTAAGGTTTTGGTTTCCACTAAAATAAAATGGCTTTTGGCAGGAGGTTGCAAACTGTCCAAACCTGACTTGTCTGTAGACGCACACAAACAGCTTACCAGCTCTTAGTTCTTTGATGTGCACAGAGAGCTATTGTTGCAGTTACAACTCATGGTCTGAACTTTGGTTTGGTGCTGGCTAGGTTACCTGTTTATCGTTTTAAGGTGAGACCAGGCAACTGATCTGTAAAAGGAGTTTATTACTGTATTTGCCAAAAATATAACTTTTTTATTTTAAAAACAAACAAGCAAGCCCCGTCCAGATTTAAGAAGTTATGCAAAAGTAACGTAACATTACTTTCCAAAAAAGTAACTAAGTAACGTTAGTTACTTTTCTATGGAGTAACGCAATATTGTAATGCATTACTTTTAAAAGTAACTTTCCCCAACACTGACTATGCCTGACTATACAAAGCACTTTATTACCACAATTGTCTGCTAGTAACATTTTTAAAAGGGGGCATATCCTGAGAAATAAAAGAAAAAAGGTCAAAAAATGAAAGCAACCTGTAACTTTCAAAACTGAAGGTGCATTTATTGTAACAAAATTTGTCAATCTGTCAAACACTTTTACACTGGACCCAACAGCAAAACTGCAGCCCACATAAAGCAAACAGTTACTCATTTTCAAAATGCGTGATTTACATACTATAGATGTTACAACCGCAGCAAAATGTCCCATATAGTTCTAAGGATATTACGAATTACGACCTTTTTGCAGACAAAAAAACGTTTTAATTGGACCTCGGGTAAAGAAATTAAATGTTAAAAAATTTGCAATATGACACCTCTAAATGCTGTGCTTGTAATAGTCACAGAATGAAGCAAAGCAAGGTCTTACCAGGCAACACTGTCCTGTAGAGAAATGCAAAGTGTTTGTGCAGCCAGGGGTGATTGAAGTGGCCGATATCAAAGTGCCTCTGTACCAAAAACATGTACTGAAAGAGTGAACGAGTGGTGTAAGTTCCATACGCCACACCCTCGTACAGAGACCCATCAGTCACATCTCGGAGAAGAACCATGGACTTTTCCATGATGGCCAGAGCCTGTTTTGTCCAGAGGTACGCTTCCTGGAGGTATCCTGAAATACAGAGCAAAGTAGTAAAAATGGCAGCATAGAGAACAATTTGTTGCGATCAGAAGGCAGTTTTCATGAATATGGTGAACTTTGGACATTATCTTTTAACATATTTAATTCAATGTAGCAAAAAACTTCCATTTAAATTTTTTTTTGAATTCTCTATTGAACACTATATTATGCTCACTAAGGCTCAATCAAAAATAGAGTAACAACAGTAATATTGTGAAATATTATTACAATTTAAAATAATTCATTTAAAACATAATTTATTCATTGGTGATGTCGAAGCAGAATTTTCAGCATCATTACTCCAGTCTTCAGTGTCACATGATAATTCAGAAATCATGTTCAAGAAACATTTATTATTATTATTGGGATGAAAAGAGTTGTGTTGCTTAATATTTTTGTGGAAACCATAATACATTTTGGTTTATTTAAAAACATTTTAAATATACATCTTTTGTAACAGTATTTACTTTGACCTCATGAGCTCTTGAGTGTCATGGCAATTAATGGATCTAATTGCTAGAGGTAGTTTATTTAAAGAAACAGGACACAGGTGAAACTAATCAGAAGCAAGGAAACAGACAAGGAACTAATAGATAGCTATATGGAAACAAATGATCTAATTGAGGAAAAAGGGAAACCAAAACAGCAACTGAACACATGAAATTTATGACACTAGTTAACAATCAGCATTTTCTAAAAAAATTGGCATCTTCAGGAAAAAAAACCCCCAAACAATTTCTTTCTTTAAAACACGGATTTTCTTTTCAACTTTGAATATATACAGCACATGTTGCAATGAAATAGGAACTAATAGATAGCTATATGGAAACAAATGATCTAATTGAGGAAAAAGGGAAACCAAAACAGCAACTGAACACATGAAATTTATGACACTAGTTAACAATCAGCATTTTCTAAAAAAATTGGCATCTTCAGGAAAAAAAAACCCCAAACAATTTCTTTCTTTAAAACACGGATTTTCTTTTCAACTTTGAATATATACAGCACATGTTGCAATGAAAGAAATATTTTTCTTGATCTTGAACTTCAGCATTACAATTTGTACATTTACATGCAAGAAACATGCCTGAGACTCAAGACTGCCAAAGCTGAAACAAATCCAAAAATGTCCATAATATTTCTGTTTATCCATATAACAACATCAGTCATGACATAACTAAAAAATTTAATTTCTTAAATGGTGTAAGGAAAATAGCGCTCAATTTTTACACAATGTTTCAAAGTGCTGCTTTCTGCAATAAGCCTGGAATAGTTTTCTCATGTGCATGTACTGTAAATGGGCTTGTGTCAGCAAAAAGCAGTTCTTAGCCGTTATATCTAGCTCATTTCAGCATAGAGAGATCAGACAGAAACCAGAGATCCCTTTAACCTCAGCAAGTTACGTTTGATGGTATAAAATGATGAATTGTACAAGTTATAATTATGAGCCTGGGAATCAGAAGACACACAGACACTAAGACTTGTTGCAAACCTCAGTAAAGCTTTGTGAATTCCTGTACTAATTTGAGCTAAACTCTTAGTAGAACACCACCTTTGACATGCACAGCAAGACTTAATTTCAGGAAAATGTTTCAAATGTACTCTGCCTGCATGCTTGGGTGAGTATGAGAAGAACCACATGAATATTTAGACCACAGCTCATCAGTATATTGAGTAATCCGGTCACACCACAAATGTACTAGTTCCACCCACAAACAGCTATCTAAGTTATTCCTTACACACACATGCAGGAATTACCCTCAGTGAACAACAACATTTACACAAACATGATATCACCCTGCTCTGTGGATTCAGACTGCAGAAACCCAGCTCTCAAGCCCGAGTTATCAAAGCACAAATTATGTACTATCTGGGTGCACCATATTAAGGAAACATCCACACTAGAAAACACCTTTCATGCCACAAAGCCCTTTATTTTTTTCCCATCTAAATATTTTCCTCATTTTCATTGCTTTTTACGTTATATCTTTTTTTATATTTCCATGTTTTTTCTTCTACTACAGTCTTTTTCGGTTACATTTCACACAAAAAAGTACATAGTATGTTCCAATATTAGTCATGTAATTTTGAGCTCAATGAAGGCTTGGTTGAGAACGTTATATTTGGAGAGTCGTACCACCACACCACTTATGCTATTTCTGCTGTTTGTGTACTGTGTATACATTTGACTAAATGTGCAGTATACAACCAGAGTACACAGCTGTACCATACAGCTCAATGCACTTGACTTGATGTCTGGGACAGAATTGACTATTTCTGTAATAAGTCATATTTTCAAAGTTATCACTTATATTCCAACATGTGTTACTTACAGGGCTGAATAAAGACTCGTTGCAAGTGTTGTTGCCGTTTCCTGCCCTTGCGTAAAAGCAGTACACTTTAGCATACTTAAAAAAAAAATAAAAAAAAGAGGGAGTACCTATTATGGAATGGTTTCAGACAATTACAATGTTATTTCAAATTAAATGAAATTGTATTGCATTTTACATTTATATTAAATTCAATTAGCTGAACTTCAGACTTTTAAGTAGGACTTTATTTATATATGTAATTTCGGCCTCACTTCAGTTTGGGGACCAATTCTCACCATTAACTAACTAACAGCTATCACTAATTGGCTGCTTATTAATAGTTAGTAAGATAGTTGTTGAGTTGAGTTTAGGCATGGGTCGAATTAAGAGAACTAAAATACGGTCCTGCAGAATATATGTGCTTTATAAGTACTAATAAACAACCAATAAGTTAGTAATATGCACGCTAACAAGCAACTAGTTAATAGTGAGAATCGGTCCCTTAACTAAAGTGCTACCATAATTCCATATTTATTGCTACTGTCTTTGGAATACGGCATTACTGTCAATGTCATTTCTATTGAAATTTAAATATTAAATGCAATATTGATAACACGCTACAGTTAAAATTCTATAAAATACTAAGTAATCACATTCTCAAAAGTCAACCGTCATTTCAAAGGAGTGTCTTCTTAAGAGCTGTGATGGTCTCAGTAGATCAGGTGAAGGTTGGAAGCTCGTTCCACCACAGAGTAAATGTGAGAGCATACTGGAAAGCGACTTTGTACCTTGTTGTGATGGAACCTCCAGACGGTAGTGGAATACAGACGCTTAGGACTGTGCTGAGGTAGGAGAGTGCTGTTCTAGCGGTAGTTCTCATGGCCAAAATTAGAGCCTTGAGTTCGATATAGGGAGCTACAGAGGAAGTGAGACCAAAACTGTGTGATGTGGGCTGTTTTTGGTTGACTGGAGATCAGATGTGCCATGTAATAAAGTGTGAAACTGCAAAACCAGGCAGTCATCATAAAGTGCTAAGTGAAATTTAAGTGGCAAATAAAGAACTACGCACAAGTTCCTGACTGTCCTGACCTGCAAGATGTAGAAATGATGGGTTGGTTGGGATTACTAGGAGCTTTGCATACACAAGGTTGAGCATAAAGGGTTAGTTCACCCAAAAATGTTGTTAAATTCTGTAATCATTTACTCACCCTCATTTCGATCCACACCCTTAAGACTTCTGTTTATCTTCAGAACACAAATGAAGAAATTTGAAATATTCTCACATCGTTTTTGTCCATCCATTGAGAATCCATGCAACCAAAACTGATGCATCAAAAAGTACACAAAAAGTCTTAAAGGGATAGTTCACCCAAAAATGAAAATTCTGTCATTAATTACTCACCCTTATGTTGTTCCAAACCCGTAAGACCTTCGTTCATCTTCGGAACACAAATTAAGATATTTTTGATGAAATGTGAGAGCTCTCAGACCCTGCATAGACAGCAACACAACTATAATGTTCCCAGGTCCAGAAACGTAGTAAGGACATCGGTAAAGTAAAACAATCCATGTGACATCAGTGGCTCAACTTCAGTTTTGCGAAGCTACGAGAATACTTTTTGAGCGCAAAGAAAACAAAAATAACAATTTATTCAACAATTCTTCTCCCCCGAGTTACGTCTTCCGCCATTTTAGAGAGTATCACAATGCATACTCACGCTTTCCCCCAAGCGTAAACAACACTGATTACGCAGATTCATTCATGCTTGCGCTTTCTCCGACGAACGCAAACAACGCCGATTACGTCGATTACGCTCTTGGGTACTCTCCAAAATGGTGGCAGACGTAACTCGGGGGAGAAGAATTGTTAAATAAATTATGTTATTTTTGTGAGAATTTTCAGTTTTGGGTGAACTAACCCTTTAAAGTAATTCATACTTTGTACAGATGTCTATTTGTACTTTTTGCTGAATCAAAGTTTTGGTTGCATGGACTGTCAGTAAATAAAAGGAAGTCTTATGGGTTTGAAACGACATGAGGGTGAGTGAAAAATGATAGAATTTTTCATTTGGGTGAACTAACATTTTTAGGGGGTGTTCCTTCATCAAGGCTGATCTCCACAAACCAAGTATATCAATGCTGTTATTTTATAAAGAATCTTCTGCTATGAAACTGAGCTGGGAATAGTGGGAAGAGTGGGGTAAAAAGAACTTCCAGATATTTGGACAGATATGAGAGAAGCCGATTCAAAAAGGAAAAAGAACAGCAGGACATACTTTCAGGGCCAAAAACTACAGATTATGTTATGAATAGCTGCAGGGGAGGAATATAGACAGAGAGAAACACAAAAGAGCAACAGAGAGAGGGGAAAATATCTGTTCTGAAATACTGGAGTCATGTGGAGAACTGCTGCACTGGAGAAATAATTACGGAGGCTTAAGTTCAGCTCTGCAGAATGACCCTGAGCAGCCTTAAATTCCAGGCAGGAATGCTGAGCGAGGGGGCAGACCTTTCATCCTTCAAAACGTGTGTGTGTGTGGCAGAGCACTGAACTTTCTCCAAAAACCATATGTCAGTTCAAGTGGGAGTAACAAATTGTGCACAGATTCAGTTCTGAAACTGAGAATTTCAGTTCCGCTTGGTATTAAAAAAGTTTTCTGAAGGGGTTTTCTGGGTTTAATAAAAGGTCATGTGGAGCATGTTGTCAATTATTGGCCCTACAGGCCTAAAATATTTTTACTTGTCCTGTTTTTCTTAAATTTTAAATGTGCTTTCATGACTTTTTTAATGTTTTTGTAATGCATTTCCCAACAGAATTCCAACATTGAACAGCATGACACAGACGCTGTCCGTAGAGGCAGAGACAATATAAAGTGGACCAATCATAGGTAAATGTAATCACAACACTCAATTTTAGCGGCTGTAGGAACGGAAGTCTCATCCTTCAGCTAAAAGAGCCAATAAAATATTTTATAAAGGTAATTTACTTTAAAAACTTACATGTACGTTAACTAGACCAGCGTGAAAAATAAAGTTTTTTAACAAGACTTGAGCAGAAGTTATGAAACTACTGCTATCAGATTTATTATTTTTGATTTGAAACGTAATTTCTACAAACAGTCAAGTAGATACACTGTAAAAAAATTGTCCCACTTTATATTAAGTGGCCTTAACTACTATGTACTTACATTTAAATTAATAATTTGGTACAATGCACTTATTGTGTACATACATGTTTTTACATTGTACTTATATTTGAAAAATATCTGCATGTAATTACATCTGTAATGAATTTCTGTAATTACATTTATAATTACACTGTTG